CATATAGAGGGCAGCACTGAACGAGAAAAGCTATTATGTGAAAATAGGTAAGGTACTGTATCAGAAAGCATGTTTTGGTGATTAAAAAAAAACATGGAGAAGAAATGACTAATCTTAAAAATATACACTCCTTATCTACAAATCTGAAGTTATACCTTAGATGTCACATCGTCTGTAACAACCACAGCTACTTGAAGGTTGTGTTTGTCACGAAAATGACCAGCCACCATGTTTCTGAAAATAAGATATAAAAAGTGATTAAAACATACAAACAAGGAATTAAATAGGTCAATATCCAAATAATTTTCTCATCTTAGTCTTTGATTTTTTCATGATAATATTTTCATGTTTTCCAACTGAAATATTTTTCAAAGATGAATTCAGAACACCAAAAATACGAATATTAAAAACATTAATTTCCATGATAAAAAAATAAATAAATAACAAAAATCACATTTAGTACTTCAGTTCTAAGAAATCAATTTGCACTAATTGAATAAAAAGCTCTCACTCTTACATTTAAATATTTTAATTAAAGATTAACTTTAAAAAATATTATTTACAAAAGAAAATAATTCCTTTAGCTACAGGTGAGATTAAAACTAGTCCAACTTGTTTAATAATTAAAGTACCTCATAATAAAATTTCAGAACATAAACAGCTCACAAAGAGTTCTTAAGACAAAATCTTCATTTTTCACATTATTGCTTTAATAAAAATGATTAATAATTAACTTTCAGAAATCTAATAATAATGTCATATTGCTCTATGCACACTTGTTTATTTGAAATGTCTAAATATTTATATATTTTAGATTATGCAATTATACAGATCTAAGCCTTTACACAAAATAATTATACATATGTACCTTATCATGAGGTTCTTTGTGAAGTTAACGTTCCACTTCTCAGAATAAGCGTCACCCCCGAGATAAATAAGCGTATCTTTCTTGGCTACAACTAAACTATCCTCTATACCTGGTCTGCCTTGTACTACGAAGAGATTAAGTTCTTTCTCCGAAAAGTTTGCTCTGAAAATAACACATCCAGTTTCATATCATGTGAATTTTCTGTATTATTGTGTAAAGAATCTAAGAAGCTCTCACAAATGATGCATCTTTTTTTTTTTAAAACGCTTTGAATTGGTGTGCTCTTTCAGTTATTTTATTTTATGAATCTAAAAAAAAAGTCAAATATATAAAAACCGTAAACAAAAATAGTAACAATAATTTATTTCACGAACATATAACTTCCTAGTGAACAAGTCGAACAAGATACTCCAATGAATAAACGGGCTTTGCCACATTATTTCACACGATAAAACTGAAGAATAAGAGTGAGAAAGTGAATCTGCAGTGGAAATCCTTCCTACTGTGTATCTTTAAGACCATACATCTAAGTCGTAGCTCAATGGTGTTAAAATATGTTTGAAAATCTTCTGCTAGTACGACTGAAAAAACGTAATTCTACCGAAGCACCATTCACGTTAAGAAAACGATGGTAGTAGCATCAACTTACCTTGAATTCAAAATTTAAATAATACAGATCTGTTCGAAATTAATGATAAATCAATATTGTATCTATTAACAAATTTATATGCTCTTTAAACTAAGAAGTATGAGCCTGACGTGGGCATGAGAATGTATCATATTATAGTTTCAACAGACCAGTCAGTGATGACATGCATAATGATCTACTTTATTAATATTTTAATAGACCAGTCCAAGCCAATATTTACAACAATCTATGGTATTATTGTTCTGATAGAATGTGCAGTCTAGACTAGTGTGCACCATATCAGCTGTAAAAGACCAATTGCGAAGTACTTATTATCTGGATTAATGTGATGCTGAGTAACTACAAACTTAAATTTCTTGTGGTTAAAAAAAAAAAAGACATTTTTCCAATTTTAAGAGGCTTCATTACCATAACAGGATGAGAAAGTCACTTTGAATGTCAAGATCTACTCCTAAAACTACAATGAGAATGTCATAAAAAGAAATTTTAATGGACGTGGTTCAATATTTGTAAGAAAAGTATACTTAACATATGAAACTGCACTACAAACAAAACAATAAATCATGTATAAAAATCCTGGCTTTCACACACCCAATGATAGATAAGACCAGAACCAAAGGAATTCTCAGTCAACAAATACATGCAAATTCCTCTGATAATTGACTAAAGCACTGTTAAACTAGTCTTAAAGCTTATATGTGAAAAAGTAGGTTTTTTTAGATACAAATTTTCTTGTTTGTTAGGCACAAACTTACAAAATAGACTATCTGTGTTGTGCCCACCATGGGTGGGTATTAAAACCACGTTTCTATGTTATAAGCCTTCAGACTTACTGCTGAGTCACGAGGGTGGGGTGACAAATGAATACAGAGGACCAGAACCAATAAGTAATCCATAATTTTCCATAATATTCTTTCTTTTTAAATCCATACAAATAGATGTGGATTGGGGGTCAGCTATCAATTTCAGTGTGTGAGCTGGATAAACAAATCATGGTGCTGATCCAACTGGAGAACCATAATGAGGCAAGTATATCCAGAACTCTAGCGAGCTAGCTTTCATAAATTTAGCATTAAGACTTAACGATGATTAAACGAAAGTCAAACATTCAAAGAACAAGAAGGTTAACTGGCCTCACTGAGAATCATGCTGTATAGTGCCTATAACAAATTCTTATTTGGAGACTCACTAGTCTAATTTTATATCATCTCACACTAAAGATAACCAAATCCATTACGATGATAAAGTCAAACTTACTGTAGTATGGGATACTTAACAAGTAAAAGAGTACAATATAAAATGTGTCGCTACACCAAGCTAGTTAGTCAGCAATAGATGCTGCACGTTCACTGGGAATTAACACCGGAAGTTAGCCCTAGTTAGCATCCCGTTTTATTCACTATAACTTAAAGTTCAGTTGCCCCCCTGAGAAATATCTTGGTGTACTAAAATTCTAAGTGTAACTCACTGATATGGTAACTAGAACTTCAGTTGAAACATATTAATAATGTAGATAAATGGAATTAATAAAAAATTCTTAATAAGAAATGATAAACTGAATTATAAATCATCTTTTGTAATAATTAAATTTCTTGAAAGAAGTTGGACAATAATTTCCTTGTAATTAGGATTTTTTTCTTGTGATTTCTAACTATCTCCTTTATCTTACATAAACTTCCTACAGCAGATAACCTCGGTAAACTTACCACCAACTGCACTGTCTGGGTATTATTAAATAACTACTATTTTTAATGGGTTGTTGACTTAGCATTACAATGTAACAAGTGGGGTCCTAACATTTTTGCAACTTCTTGATGTTTTATTTTGTTACAAGGTCCTGTTATTTTAAATAAATGTCCAGGTAAAATACATTAAAGGACTTTTGAATTTTGCACAAGGATTCACGAGGGCTATCTACGCTAAGACGTTCCTATTTTAGCTGTGACAGATTAGAGGGAAGGCAGATAATCAACACCACCACTTAACATCAACTCATAAAAATGAATCGTGGAATTGACCATCACAATGTAATGCTCCCATGGCCGAAAGGGCAAGCATGTTCAGTGATGGGGATTCAAACTCACGACCCTCAACTTGCGAGTCAAGTGCCTTAAACATCAGGCCATGCCAGGCCTGAATAAAATGGGAAACATGATAAATATCATATCATTTAACACATTGTTATAAACTATATCTTATATATTTTAATTTAGATGTTATGATCTGGAAAATTTGTGTAGTGAGTAACGACAAATACATTATATAACTACCCTGTGTGTGAAAATTCAATGGGAATTGCATGAAGGGTTTAGCTTAGCATTACGTAGTAAGTTATCACATCTATTAAGTTAATCGATTAACTGGCAAAGAAATTCTGTAACAATAAATAAGTTTATTTGTTAGTTACGCATACTTATCATCAATCAAGGAGGTTTTTGTCAAATGTTGATAGTATATTAAGACTACAGTAGTTACAGTATAACCTGTTGAAAGGTTTCGTGTTTGAAGCTAGGCCTACAGCTAGGCCTATTAAGACTACAGTAGTTACAGTATAACCTGTTGAAAGGTTTCGTGTTTGAAGCTAGGCCTACAAGTAAAAGTGATTGTAACAAATGTTATAGAAGAAATAAATTAAAATTTGTTAGTGTTATGTGGCCTGGATCTTTCATTATTTTTACTAACTAATACAAAAGAGTATGCCAAATGACAGAACACGTTACAACATCGTGTCATTGTATCACGACATAAATCATATCACCAGATTAGTAACAATACAAGCTCACCTAAATAAGTAATAGATGAAATATAAACTAGAGGCTGAAACTTAGAGAGTCTGAGGGTTTTATTAACTACAAAATACGTCTCCCATATTTGGGTTATATTAAGTACAGAATGAGTCTACGATATTATTTTTGTTGACAGTTTTTTTTATAAAATGTACTAGCATGGTTAAACATCAATAAGATCAATATTACTCGTTACAGAGCTATAATTCTTGCTGGATATACCAATGTAAAACACTAATCCATGGTCACCAGATGGCACTGTATGTGTTTAATGTGGCCATTCTTCATGTCAACAATGGCTTGCATCTTTGGAATGAAGAGACAGACAGTTGAACAAATCAGTCCAATATTCAATACCGTTTCATGCTGTCCGATAGCATCTGTCAAGTCCACCAATGTAGGAGGTGCTCTGCGATATACAAACAATTTTAGGTATCTCCAAAGTCAAAAACAAATGAACCATCAGAAAGCATGTAGCCATGCCAAATATTAGTTAGTTTTATTCATCAAATCATCCTAGCAATGCAGGATATTGTTGATATTCCACATGCACCAGGAATTTACGTTTCCTGGGTTCTCATTGATATATACACCAAGAACCATTGCTCTATGATGAACAATATTCATAATCAGACATACTAAGAAGTTCTACAAGAACCCTATATATTTGTATGTTACTACAGTGAACTACACATACCTCATGTTGCACTTGTAATTCCAGTATTTCTTTTTCATGGTGACAGGTTTTTATTGGATTCAAAACATTATCCAGAAAGGAAATCATATAGTGCCTGACAAGAGGACCCTTGTAGTATATGTCTGTTGCCCATCGCACGTGAACAATGAGGACAGGATAAGAATCTGGCTGTAACTTTTGTCGACATTCGCCATCTGGCCACCAGCAATTCACAGCAGCAAAAAACACCTGGCAATAAAACAAAGTTATATCACATATATGAATCCTAAGTGTGAATTATTAACAAAATAAATCTAATCATTTAAATAAAAAAGCTACTCCAAGTTATTTTTTAAGTATTGTATATTACACTGAAATTACTATTAACACCATAACTAATGGTAGACTTAAATGAAATGCATATTTCAGTCTTTTTTAATAAAACAATGATATACACAAATAATTCTTAAAATTAAAGCTGACCATTCATGATGGGATTGAATTTTAAGAAATCAAAATTATCAATAAAATAAATGATAGCTCTTCTTCATACTTCAACCTTACGAAAGACTAAATTCAGCTCATTTAAAAAAGCTTCTATTTTCTTCTAAAAAAACTTTACATTCAAAAGTAAATTTATTTTAATTACAGTACAAATAGGATGTTTTATGACATCAAAAACAGAAAGTCTGCAATCCAAAAAACTGCAAGTTCAACTTACCTCAACAAGTAACACATTTTTATTTTAATATCACTGCAACCAGAAAAACTAAAAAAAAAAATCTACAGTGGTTTAACAAACTGATTTTGAGTAACCTTAATAAAAAAATAACTTAATGATATTTGTATAATTTTTATAGGTTAAAAATTATTTACCAAACAACATAAATGTACAAAGAATGTGTGAATTGTTTTTTCATTCTTGTGAATTATAGTATTAAAAAAATACAACTCAATAAGCTAGCAGTAAATGACAAAACAATAAAAAACATAACCTTTGACTAGATCAGTTTAGAAGAACAAGTTATAATGTCACTAAAAATTCAGTGTAGTAATTCTTTATGTACCACTTTAGACAGAATAAACATAACCGTTGACTAGATCAGTTTAGAAGAACAAGTTTTAATGTCACTAAAAATTCAGTGTAGTAATTCTTTATGTACCACTTTAGACAGAATAAACATAACCGTTGACTAGATCAGTTTAGAAGAACAAGTTTTAATGTCACTAAAAATTCAGTGTAGTAATTCTTTATGTACCACTTTAGACAGAATAAACATAACCTTTGACTAGATCAGTTTAGAAGAACAAGTTATAATGTCACTAAAAATTCAGTGTAGTAATTCTTTATGTACCACTTTAGACAGAATAAACAACATTTGGCTTTAACCTTCAACTGAATACATAGATTAAAGTGGAAAAAATATTAGCAATACTTTGAAAATTTGAAGTAATTAATTTTATACTTCTGCAACTGTATAGGGATTCAAAGGCAAGTATATTTTATTTGACATTTCTTTGCAATTTAAGGAAAACCAAAACAGCATGGAATTTACCTGTGTGAGAAAAAACCTAGCTACAGCTTCAAATTCTTCCTGCGTTTCAATACAAGTGGAATCCCAGGGAGCATAATACATTACAAATGAAACTTCTTTCTCCATAAGTAATCCACTAAGTTGTTGCATAGAGCCTAAATAATAATCACTCACTAGGGAAGACGAGGAGAAAAACTTCTGTGGAGGACTAGCTTTCCTAGTCTTTGGTGGGCTGTCAAAAGGCAAAGATATTATAGTTTTCACTTTTATTTTACCCGGTTAAAGTTAAAAAATTATATACCAAAACTATTCTGCAAACAGTTTCAATTGGCTAATAGAAAAAATATATTTAAAGCTACTGTACTAACATTCAGCAGGGTCTTCAAAAAGTGTGATTGAGTTACAGATTAAGCAGCTTCACAGGAACGGGAGTTTAAGTGGATAATCAAAGATTTCCTGAAATATAAAGGGTTGATTTAATTGTTTACTCTTCCTGAGGTTAGGGACATAAGGATAACCTCAAAGGACCAAGTGGACCCTTGCTGTGCCTATATTATAACCATTTTGTTAATATAGTCAATATAATTGATTATCTGTGAGCATCAATTCATGTCACGTAAAATAATCAATTAACCAAAATTACAATTAAAGCAATTAATATTACAAAAATTAATGATCCTGATAACTCCAACTATCCAAGTAATCAAAATACTGTCATTATCATGGGTGTCAGCAGGAAGAGGCATGGGGGGCATTTTGAACACAAGACTGGTTTAAACATTCAGTCTAATTGTAATTCTCGCTTTTTGTGTTAGTGCAGTGAAACAGAATCACTCAGAAATATATATTAGCTAGTAGCTTAAACAGTTACATAAATATTTTCCCTAAAAGCCAACAGAAAACTATTTATACTGCACTGATAGAAAATACATAATATGATCAACTTAATAACAGAGACAGGAAATGTTAATCATTCCTCCAAAACTTTAAAAAGCTCAAAACAAAGTTTATTGCTAATGAGCTATTTAAGACATTTTTATTAAATTCTACAATCCATAAATGGCCTTTAAATCCAATAATACTTGAGCTACCATGCTTATACCCACCAATTATTACAATCTTACTTCTGTTTCGTTTTCAAATAATCTTGATGAGTTTTCTATCTAGATTGTTTCTATCAAATGTGATTTATTAACAAGCTAGAAACATATAAAAAACTATAACTAGTTACATTAAGTTGAATATTTTAACTATTGATGCCACTATTTTAATTATTTTTTTCCCAGTTTAAATGTGGTTCCAGAAATTTAACTAGAGATACCAAAATACAAATTTTCTGCTAACTGCTCATTTTATACATATATATGCTAGCTGATGTACCTGTTCATTGTATAGGGGGCAGGCAGATTTGGACACCAACTCTTCAGGAGATCTTAAGTATACATGGCAGGTTTGGTGACAATCAGTCCAGAGGTTTGTCAGTTATAAACAGACAAACACAAATACTTTTGTCAAATAATGGTTTAGAAATATAAAATAATATATACACACACATACATGTATGTATAGGTCATCTAAAGTTAATAGTACTAGAATATTTATAAAAGAAATGTACTTTCTAAGAACAATCTCTATCCACATAAAAACATAAGTGTATTGAAAATGAAACAGGTCAGTTCAAAGTTGTAGTGATCAAAATACATTGTTTTAAAGTTCTGTAACTTTTTGGCCACCCTTTACGTGTGTGTGTCTTTGTTATTTTGCTTAGTATGAACTGTGAATGCATTTTGCAAAAATTTACAAGCAGTTTTAATATTGCTATCCGCACAGCTGATGTTTGTTAAACAATAATATTATGCCCTTTAAGCCTTGGCAGCTCCAATAAAATGAAGGTATTTCGTACAAGTTGTTAAAACACACAAAACTATGATTTGTGATAATCTTCTTGTCTATTACATTCACAATTTCAAAACTGAAAGAATGTAGTAAACACGGTTTAACACATGTAACACTGTTGCTGAATAAGCAAACGAAAGATAAGGGGGCGGGGCCTTTGCTTCTAAAACTGTACAGCCAACCTAAGACATAAGCGCCTTCTTTAGCAATGAAAACTGATCTTTGAACAGAAGAGGCTAAGCTACACATAACTATATAAAATTGATTGAATTTACCCATTGTGTAGAGCTGCAAGAGCCGTAAACAATACAGCCAATATAAAACACAGTTCTCGGCCATATGTACTCATCACTTTCAACAAACGAGACTTGAATTTGCCACGTGGACCTTTCGGTTTGACTTTATCTTTTTCCATATCGTTAGCGGTCGCCATGATGACGTCATGACTGTAGGTAAATCAGTTCTCGAAAAATACCGTTTACATCACTTGTTTACACTGTTGTGCTTCTTAACTGCTAATACTGCGAAAAAAATGTACGAAATAATAATAAGTTTAAACTGGGGGGAGAGCTACAACAAACAAACATTTTATGACCGTTTAGGCTATTCCAGTCTACAAATCCAGATATAAATAATGAAAGAAACAAAAGCTATTAATTAATAGAGGGTTTGCACTACATTTGACAAAATTAAGTGACACGATATAAAAAAAAAGTGGAAATTATATTGCTTTTGTTAAATTGTTTGTTATTAAGCAAAAAGCTACAGAAAGGATTATCTGCATTTTCCCAACCGCGCTTATCGAAACTAGATTTTAGAGTTATAAGCCTCAAGAAATTATCTTGCACTACAAATTAAAGTTGTTGTAAGCGAAATAAATATTTATGTTTTGTCACTGCTGCGGTTATCTGAAAATATAATGTATGTCATAAATTGTGTTAAGAGTAGAAATAAAAACAAAACACTTCTGATAAAACAAACTGAAACGTATGAGTTTATTCCATAGAAACATTCACAACTTGACTATACCAAATAAATATATACAAGGGACCCGATCAAGCATCTCAACTCATACTAATTTGAACAAGTATTTCTTCCCACCCCTTTTGCGATAGGTATATATAGACGGAACATACCACTATCAGGCTATGACAGAGGGTAAGGTCACCGGAAGAATTCCTACGGCCATCTTACACCCATACAAAGCCCATCCTGTTATAATATTACGTTCTTATGCGACTTTTGTTCTGTGGTAATTTTATCAACATGCTTTGCTGTTCTGCTTTTGAAAGTATCAACTTATCGATCGGTGGATAAGGCAAAACTTTCGACTTAAAAGTATTCATTTTATGTTCATTAGGTATCAGTTAAATAAATTTTATCTACCTTAGTGTACGAAGAACGGGTTCTGTCTGCAACACATGTATGGGAAATAAATCCACATAGAAGAATATTTGTGATAAACTGTATTCAATGTCAAACACACATCATTACACATTCTCAGTTGTATACATATCAAGAAGAATTATTGGTCTATAGCTTCTCAAATTTATATAAATAAAAATGTTGCTGTTCTAACACAAAAGTAGCCAGAGGGGGACACTAAAACATGTATGTTCGTTTTCTAACCTACTCCACATCATTACTTATTCCCTGCATTACACAGGGAACAGGTGAAAGCCGGAATAAGGTAAAATTTGTCACCAAATCTGGCCACTTTTGTATTGGACTTGTAACATTTTTTCTTATAATGGAAAAAGGAAATTTTCTTTAATGATGGTTTTTGTTGTCATTTCAGCTGTAGAGAAGCAGTAATCTTTTGATATCACTTTTAAATCGATTGGAGTTGTTTTTCTGGCCCTCTCGGCATTTTTTACCTTGGTCTGTCTTTCACCCATTCCTGAATTACAGCTGGAGGAGTTATTTAATTTTTATAAAGCTGTTTGACGTAATGAACACAAGGAACCATTTGGTTCGCACTTACAAGGCACCCATTAACGGGATGCTATTCTTAGACGAAGCCTCCTAGTACGTCAGAGCACTGAAGGATCAAAGAGCAAAACTGATCAACGCCATGACATCAAATTAGATAATTTAAAAGGCAAATCTAATAACATAGCCCAGTCGAGACATCAATAGATTATGACTGAAATGTGCCATGAACGACATATCAGGCTCAGTTCGAAATAATTTCCAAAGTGAACAACAAGCTATTAAACTTGCTGTCCATTTTAAAAAGGGTATGTTTTAACAAAATTAAGCAATCTTTCAGCTGAGAGCCATAACAGTTATCAAGTATCGGTGGCTACCTCATCATACCGATTTGAGGTGATGCACCAGAAGAATGTTTCCAAAGTAAAGTTTAACAGCAGACTAAGGACAATACCTCAGCTAAGCTCATACAAAAGCTTACCGAATTATCTTACTTGTATGCTCAATGTGAAATGATGGATTAATCAGCATGTGACAAATTCATGGATGCTATAGTGAATGAAGATATATTAATTAGGCTAAATTAAAGTCGATTTACATCTTTAAAGGAAGCTCCCCAGTTAATGATGGAAATTGCATCCATTAAAGTCAAAGATAATCAACTGAAAATATTATCAAACATTTACGATATCATCAGATCATGTAATGTGAAAACATTAACTTCTTCTAAAAGAACTGAAAGGATTGATTAGGCAATTAGTTATACAAAATCGAAGAAGTAAGCCACAAACCAATAGATGTTTCAAATGTAACTTAAAGGGGCATATTGTTACAAACTGCAGACAAAAGCCTGTAGGGAACAAAAACTCCTCCAAAAAGATGTTAGCCCTCCCTAATTTAGCAGTGTAAGACTAGAGGGAAGGCAGCTAGTCATCACCACCCACCGCCAACTCTTGGGCTACTCTTTTACCAACGAATAGTGGGATTCACTGTCTCATTATAACGCCCCCACGGCTGAAAGGGTGAGCATGTTTGGTGTGACGGGGACTCGAACCCGCGACCCACAGATTGCGAGTCGAGCGCCCTAACCACCTGGCCATGCCGGGCCCATACTTTAATGTACTATGATGTTCTAAATATATAACTAAACATTCTGTTCGTTGAACTAAAGTTTAATGGAATTATTAAAAAAAACTAATCAAGTCAGTGTTCACGTGTATGTAATAAGTATAACACCATCATAACACTGGTCATTTAAAAAAATCTTTTATTGATGTAATAAATTAAACGATCCTTTGGAATACAAATTACTTGTATTCCATGTTAATAATTCTAGCAGATATATCAGTATGATAAACGTTATTACATGACAAAAAAGATAAAATATGCTCAAGCAATACATTCCAAATTGTTAGCTATGCTGATATTTCAAAACTAATATAAAAATAGAGCTAAAAGGGTATATGTATACAAGAATGTAAGGCGTTTTAACCGCACAATTCACAAACAATTTGTTTCTGATCATAAAACACTCATAAAAACTGAAAACAAAAATATAGTAATAACAAATTGGATTTAGGGTGAAACTCGAATAACCAAGTTTCTCTACAGAACAATGTAACAAAAAAAAAGGAGGTGAAATAAATTTAGCAACGAATGTATAAAGATGAACAAAGTCTACTGAAACAATAAAAAATATTAATTAGTTACATTTAGAATTGATATAATTTTTTTGTTGTTGTTGTTAAGCACAAAGCTACACAATGGGTTATCTGTGATTTGCTCACTAAGGATATCAAAAACCGGTTTTTCTGGGTTTACAACTTGGATTTATTCCAAGGTATTTTCCAGTGTTCAGCTAACCTTGCCATTGGAATGTTAAACTATTAAACAGCAATTATTGGAATAGAATCAAGGGATGAAACATAGCTTTCATGATGTGTAAAGTTTATACAAATTAAACATACATCAAAAGTAGGTTATCTTGTACAGATACAACCTTAAAATCATTACAAAGAATGTAAACAAATATTTTATTGTTTGTTTCAGAACAAAGCCACATTAGGCTATCTGCTGTGTCCACCCAGATTTTGGTGATGTAAGGTTGTAAATTTACCGCTGTCCCACTGAGGGACCCGTGTCACTGAAAATGACCAAAAAGTTCAAGCAGCTCATTCATGTATTATTATATTCATGTTATGCCAACATAGTATTTATACATCCCCCCCCCTTTTTTTTACACACATATAACACTTAATGATTTGGATGGTTTGCCATACTTACAAGTAAATAAATGCCTCTGATCAGAAGAAGAAATAAACAAACATTTCAAATTGTGCAACATGTTTCAAGAATAAACAACTTTAATCATAAGATTTGTTACTAGATCTGTATATTGTAAAAATATTTCACCCTACTATTCTATTTCTCAGATTGTCATTAACCACGTACACATAATTACTAATGCATTTATAAATATCTAGTCATGAGAAAAATAATTTTATTAAAAACTATTAATGTTATTGAATTTAATACACGCCAATAAAAAAGTTAGCCAATTATAACTTATTTATTATTACAACTTTTAAGGCATAGCTTTGAGTTCTTTAACATTTTTTTTGTGATGGTACTATTCATAATTAAAACAACATCACCATGTGCATAAGGATCAAGCAAACAGAAAAACATCTCGTCAAACTTTTGATTTGGACATCTAATCAAAAGAACATTTCTTCAGAGAAAAAACACTTTATACATTCAAAACACTCAAAAGCTTTACCTAAGAATTAAAAAATCACAGGAGTTTTAATTTTGAACCAATTTTTATATCTAGATCTTCTTTATTTGATTGTCCACAGATATAATATTATAAACATTAGCATTCAATCTCTTAAAACGTACTTACTGTTCATCCACTCACTGTGTGTTCGACATGAACAGCCCCAGCCATGATTAAAGTTACAGAATGCCCCACTGCTAAAGGGATGGCATCAAAGCCTTTAAGTATGATAAAAACCACGATGTCTACTACAAAATAAACAGTCTCAGGCATTAGGATAGTTGTGGAATATCACAATGCCCAGTAGAAACTCAGTTTGTCTTAGAATGGATAAAATTATCATCAGGGCAAAAAACTCAAAGCCAATCCAGAAATAAGATTTCCATTGCACACAAACCAGTTAGTAGCAGTGTAGATGCAAACTTAACCCTTCTTAAAACAGTGGTCATGTGTAGAACGATCTGTGGAATACTGGGCTCCTCGCAACAATATGTTATACAAAGATTATAACTACTTACAACTAATGAAAAAAAAAACAATCCTTCAGCTCATTGTTAAGTAAAACCTAAATATTTAATAATAAATAAAATACACTTCACTCTGCATCTCCATCTCAAATGTATTGTTCTTATTAAATGAAATCACGCTACATTAAAAACAACAACTTTTGTCCCAGGTAGATTCTTTGGTTATATAAGACTCCAGAGGAAAATCACCTCCTTAACCTTATGACTCAATCAGTTCATCTACCTGTCGTGTTAAAATAAGTCTGGAGATTTTCTAGCTTTTATAAAGTATACAAATGTCACACCCCAGGTTCTGTTCCAGATGTATAACAGTAACCTAATTAGTCCTAGCCATCTAGATGATTTTTCTGTTAATGAAGAACTTATTTGATCAAAGAATCAGTTTTATAACTAACTGATAAGGTTGAAGAATATTTGGGCCATGTATAAACTATTAGGGAAAAAAAAGAATGAAGGAAAGAGAGATCAGATTCAGTTCTGCTTAATATAATCAATCCGTACAAAAAATCAAACAGATTTTAACACCAGAGCCACAATAATACAGATTAATAAAAAAAGCAACTGACTTGGTACAAAGTTAGGGAAGATGGTTTTTTAAGCAACTATACTCAGTACCTTCCAAAAAACACTTCAAATTAAGTAGATTTTAACACAATGGAAACAAGTTAGCCATTACTTAAGTGAACACACTATATTAACCAACTTTAAACAAGGTGAGCTTCAAGAGCTCACATAGTCAGTTAGAAAAGCAAGCCAACAATCTAATTCACAGGGGTTCAACCTAGCATGAATATTTCTACATTATCAAAAGGAGAATTAAAGGGGAGCCTTTAATAGCATCTATAAGTATAACACTGAAACTGAGGTAGACGGTCTATATGAAAATACATTTTACAGTAATCCAACCCTTAAGAACTAAAAAACAAAGAGTATTACAATCAAGACACACAGACAAGAATTAAAAAAAAATAGTCATATGTATAAATGAAAAAAGATTTTGGAGATTAACAAGTAAAATATACATCAGAACAACAAAATAAGTTTAGTTATATATTAAATTAAATAAATAATTTTTTAATAATTCATTAAAAGAGACAAAGTATCCAAGAAATGCACATATACAAATATTATGTCTGTACCTCATCCAAAATGACACCTAACAGTTTTAATATGATTTGGCAGATCAAAAAAATTATGGTTTTATTTAAGGAATATTAGATTTTCTGAAGACCAAAGTGAAAAGTTTGGACTAAAATGGTAACAGTTGTCCTTTAATACACCAGGTGGCACCACCTTACAGTTCATTTAGATTACAACTCCAACTATTCCATACAGATTTTAGAAAGTACACAAAATGGATTGAAGGTCCACTTTATAACCTTGATAACAGCATCTGTCACATGGGAGGTAGACGGAAAAGCTGAGATAATGATGATCTGTGTAGACTTGCCTTTGAGTAGCTCAACTTAAAAAAAAAAAAAGGGGGTTGGGGTGAGAATATATGAAATATTTGAACAATATAAAGCTGAAAAAAATCAATTTATGCCTTTTCTAAGGTGGCAAAGCATAATAACAAATAGTTATACTTGTCATAAAACATTAGTATTAAAAGCATCATAGGTAATGAATATCGCATACATGGTGTGTTTGAAATACTATTATACACTTTTCTCTTCTTGAAAAACTCTAAAGGACTGAATAAAGAACATAGTGTCAAAAATATAATAGTATAATAGGCCTAATACTAATGTCTTAGGACAAGTATAACTTAGAAAAATATTTATAAAAACATCAATACACTACAATAATGAGAACAAATACTTGTACTGTTGACTGAAAGCCTGCCATATTTTATGTACATACAAGTAGCAAAATCAGAATTACAGTCAACATTACTTCTTCAATACAAGGTCAGTCCAATGGACCAACACCATGTATATTCAAATAACGTGTGTGTTAGTAAAATTTGTGTATACAACAAAGTATTTTTAACTAACATAAGTAGGGGTACTTTCTTTTATCATTCACCCTAACAATTTTAAAAATAATTGATAATAAAGTAAAAACAATTAAATGTACAGTTAAATATTTTGGTAACAGGACATTATTATATTAAAAATGTAACACATATGAAATCAGTCTTACTTATGTGTCTTAACAGTAAGACTGATTTCATACATTACCATTTGAGAGACCCAGAAAAAAAATTCTTTTAAGCATACGTTACACAAACAAAATGCATGTTAGTGCAATAAAATGAAGAGACCAGCTTCACAAACCTGTTACAAACAATTGTTGTGTTAAGTGTAAGTTACTACTAAAATAAAAATCTACACAAACTCAACATAAATAAATATCAATAATTTTTTGAACCAATGCCTCTTATTTACTTAATTCAAAAAAAAAAAGTTTAGTCGGTGCACAGTTAGAGATCCGGAAAGTTCTGTATAATAAATACAAGTTAAATTACTTCTAAATAAAATGAGTTATTTCAATGATTAGCAATTAAAAACCTCAATTCAATATTTTATTATTTGAAGTTCAAACATGCTATTACTCTACAGATAATTATCTTAAATTGAAGAAACAAAAAAGTTAATGTATAACTACTCGGTAAAAGAAAAAAGAGGAGATACCTGCTACACTCGGAGCCCACGTATTCTGACCACAGCGTAAACCTGTTGTAAAACAAAACTGACATTATTTCAGGATATATGGTTAAACATTTATTTATACCTACAGCACCCCCACACACCTATACAATAACTGAAATAATTATGGAAACACACAAGTGATGAGTAACAAAACAATAAGTTCCTACTTTATAAATGTTTTTAACAACTAATGAAGCTACATATTGTGAATGTATCACAACTTAAAAACCTCAAAACCAAAAGGGCATTATGTACTTGTTTAAATTTGATTTCAAAAAGGAACATTATTAAATCACCAGATAAAAAATTAATTAACTTACTCAATTTGTGAAAAAAAAAAGTAAATGAAACAAACCATCAGAAGTCTGATTCGTGCATCCTTTTCAGCCTCACGTTGTCTTCTGTCAGGAAAAAAATAGTCAACAAATTCCTACGTGACTGCTGATCTTGGAATTCCCTTAAGGACACATAGGCATTTGTTGACCAGTTTTTTTTCTGCCAGAAGAGGACACACAAATGTGTCAAAACTAGTTTCTCTGATATCAATTTACTGTGGCTTTTCACTAATTGCTACACATGATATTGTGTTCTTTTATTATTATTACTAAATTTGATATTTTTTTTATGATAGTTTTTTGTGCTTGTTTGAATATTATAAACTAGTCAATGAAAATTTGGTTACACTTGGTCATTATGACTTAGAAAACATTAGTCTTACTATGTGAAGTTAAATCATTTTGTATGGGTTTTTTTCACTATTGTCATCTCACATTGTACTCATGTAAGCCCATAGTTTTTCATTTTGCTATTAAATACTTTATTGAAAACAGTTTCAAGTCTTTTGATTTTATATAAATATGCATAAATTGTGTTCATAATTTGTCTTTTAATTTGAAAAAAGTTTACGATAACACAACCAAGTAAATTAATATTTTGTGAAGAGTATCTGATAAATTAAAACTACACAGTTTTACATTCTGTTTAACAAATGCCTGAAACTCGTCCTACAAGTATTAGTCAATCATTAAAGTAAACAGTGAAACAAATAATAATAACTTTAAATATGATGCTCTACGGTGTCTCGATTAAATGTAAAGTGAAAATGAATACAGCATTTAATACACGATCTACTGAGTTAGTAACCTGTGAACCACTGAAATATTCACAATAGAAGTTTACATCTTATCTTACGAGCCCTGTACAATACATAAGTGTCAAATGCTTGTGTTAATAACAAGAGAAGACTATTTGATTGTTGTTAAGTATGAATTTACACAAAAAGCTATCCGTGTTTCACCCACCATAGGTATCGAGACCTGATTTTTACTATTATAAGACCACAGACTTACAGCTGAGCCACTTGGAGGCAGGAGTAGAGAGAGGGAGATAAAGTAATAGATGTATTATTCCCAAAATCCAAATATTTAAATCTTACCAGAACAGCGATTATTCAATTCTTCTTCCTTAATTGGAATTTCTAATTCCGCTGGATCCACTAAAACTAGTTTCTCACTGAACTGTTTTAAATGATGGTTTCTTCGACCTTCCCCGATAATCAACTCTTTATTAAAAGCAGCATTTGTCTGAGAAAAAAAAACTTTTTAGTAACTCACTATATAAAATTCGATACTAATATTACGCTTATATCAAGTTACAGATTTAAAAACAGAAATATTACATAGCTTAATCACTAAACATTTTTTCCTATTACGAGATCTTATGTTCAACATTTTAATTTTCAAAATTCCAATTAAGATTTCTAGTAACTAACATTCATTTCTAAACCATATTATTATCATCATTCTTTGTTTTCAATTTATAATATTTTACAAAATAGATTCATTATTAAAAGTATAAAAAGAAACTTATACTACACATGATAAAAAAAAAGTACAATATCTGATGAGAAAACGCTGAACAAATAAAGAAATACTGAGCCCAGTACTTACAAAGTATCTTAAATAACATCAGAAACACACAAAACTCGTTCTGCATGCAATTATGTTAAACTGACACTAAAATGATAAAAACCCTATAACCTGATCATGTTTGAAAGGTGGATCTTTCTTCTCCAGGGGCAAAGCGATTGGGTTATAGGGGTTTTATCATTTTATATTAAGACTTTTTGAACTGATGTGTTTTTCTGACATCGCGAGTTTAAACCCATCCTGGGTAACCTAACTAAAAGAAGACCTTACTTGTATCCAACCAAGGTTTTTCTA